GGATCCTTGTAATTTTACACTGAAGTAGGAAATAAGGTGGGAATTCCAGGCTCATTTTGGTTGTGGTTTGCCGTTCTCTGTTACCTGTTTTATGTCTGTCGCTTGCATGGCCAACTTAAAAAGTAAGTTGTTTATTTACTTCGGAGCGTTGTCTCTTGATATTTATTGGAGCAGTTAATTTAATAGCTGTAACTTCAGTTCTTGAAAATTACCTTTAATATATAGAAGTTTCCCTAGTATCCCTTGCCTTTAGGTTTCACTAAAAGCCTGTTGTGTTTCTTAACTGTGAGTTAGTTGTATCAGCTGAACATCTAATGCCTGAAATGTCTTCATCTAAAAATGATAGAGGCTTTCCGACCTTTATTTTATATTAAGTATTTATGTTACAGGGTTGAGGATATGAATGAATTTATGGCGGAGAATATGGGAAGTAGAGAAGCTTCTAAAAAAGTCACTTTTAGTTTGCCGAATGACAGTGAAACAGATGATGATACTGATCTACAATTAGAGAAGGGCACTGATCCCAGCGAAATAAAGTCTTCTTTTGAGAAGAGACAGGAAAAGGTAATAGTTTTTTTTATTGGTGATTGTGTAATTTATTTTTTTATTGGTTTATTTTTGGTTTATTTATTATTGGTTTATTTTTTATTAGTGATTGTGTAATTTTTTTATTTATTATTGGTTTATTTTTGGTTTATTTATTATTGGTTTATTTTTTATTAGTGATTGTGTAATTTTTTTATTTATTATTGGTTTATTTTTGGTTTATTTATTATTGGCTTATTTTTTTTTATTAGTGATTGTGTAATTTGTTCAAAGTCCGTTAAAAAATGAAGAGACTATTTACAAATAAAGAAAAAATAAAGTGGCTTATCAACATGGTATATATATGCTATCATATATTCCTTTGTCTTTATGGGAAGAGGATTTAGAAGTACCTGAAATAACTAGTAATTTCCTGCCTTGACTTCCTTGGTGAGCTCCATGTTTTAAACTTCATAGGAAATTCTGTTTTCCAGATGAGAAAAAAAATTGAAAATCTAGAAGAACAGTTGCTAGAGGAGAAACCTTGGCAGCTTAAAGGAGAAGTGACTGGACAAAAACGACCTGAAAACAGCCTTTTGGAGGAGACGGTACTGTTTGACCATGCAATCCGAATGGGTAAGTAGTGAAAAAGGCTTTTGTGAAAGCTCGTTGCCCCCCGTGTTGGGTTTTCTTCCCTTAGTTCTTGCTTCAAACAACTGTGACCCACAAGTCACAAAACCATAAGTTATTTTTTGGTGTATTTTTGCAGTTGTGCATTTTCATGGTGGAAACTACATGAAACTCTTTTTTTTTTTGTTCATTTTTAGCTTACTGAAAGGTCATTAAGGCAGTGGGCTTAGTCGTTTACAAGCCTCACATAATATGATTAGTCTCTTCAACACAGAGGAAAACAATATTGACTTACCTTGCCTTCAGTTACATTTTTATGGAGGTTTTACTTGCTTTTTGTATTGTTTATTCTTGATGGAACAAAAAACATTTCTTGCTGGAGAAACACTAATCTTGTAATTCTTCTCTTTTTTCCTCTCAGCGCCTGTGATCACAGAAGAAACTACTTTTCAGCTTGAAGATATCATTAAACAGAGAATATTGGATGAGGTTAATATTGTCTTTCTTGTTCCTCCCTGTTTTGTTCATGGACTTGATTCAGATGGCACGTTCCAAGGATGAGTTTGAAGCTCTTAAAATGATAGGTGTAGAATTATCTTAATTTCTGCAACTAGTTGTTTGGGGGGTTGGGTTTTTTTTTGCCATGGTGAATGTGTCTAGATTTCTAAAGAGCTCCATTTTTACGTGCCTGCTATATGCTAGGTTTTAGCATGCGTCCCCCCCAAAAAAAGAGTGTCTGTGGATAAAGCTGTAAGGAGTATATTTGGAATATAATGCCAATCTGTAAGTTTTGTCTCTTACCAATATTGTAGCACTCCGAGCATTCTGAATACTAACAGAAACTCAGCCATTTGCTTCATTTTTCTTACAAATTTCTTACAAGAAGGTTTGTATTCCTCAGCTTGTTGAGGCTTACTGTTAGTTGAATAAGAAAACCTGGGACATATGGGGAGAGTATTTAAGTAATTAAGAAAGTGAAACACTTGTTATACAGTATTTGCCCCAATCTGACAAAGATAAGCACACAAGCTAGAGCTTTAAGTCTTTTATTCCTTTCTTTTCCTCGAATTAAACTGTGAAACTTAATGATTTCCTGGGAAGCCACACGCATAAACAGTTCATGTGTCAGATAAGTAATGTGAAGAGCATTCTAAATAAGCTGTAGCACCTCATCTTTGACCGTAGTTGCCTTTGGGCATTAATTTATTAATTTCACAGGCATGGGATGATGTAGTACCGAAAGAAAAACCGAAAGAAGATGCTTCTGAATACAAGAAACGTGTCACTTTGGATCATGAAAAGAGTAAACTGAGTCTCGCTGAGATCTATGAGCAAGAGTACATGAAGCTTCACCAGGTAACACAAGCAATGCCTTTCCTTGTTTGAAGTTCACACCACCTCATCGAAGTTTGTTTGTACACTGCTAGCTCTCAGTTTCGTGGAAATCCCTGAGTCTTCCTCTGAGTGGCCACCAGTAAAATGGCTCTGAGTGGTCTGTTATGTTAGCAGACTTGCTAAAGTAAAATAGCAAAGTAAAATACTCATGGCGTTGCAGTAACGTTGTGCTATTAACACAGCAAAAGACTGAAGAGGAGGAAAATCCTGAACACAGAGAAATTCAAGAAATGATGGATTCGCTTTTCCTGAAGCTGGATGCGCTTTGTAACTTCCACTTCACACCCAAACCAGTAAGTACATCGATTTCATAAAATTGGAGGTTCCCCCTCCTCTGAAACTGGATACCGTGAAATATATTTGGGAAATGGAGAGTAAAATATTTAGTGTTCCTGAGCTTGTTCTTATTTTGCATTAAATGCGCTGTAACTGCCTCTAAACAAAACCAGATATTCAGTATCTTCATTTAGCTGTGAGATGGTGTGTGCTCAGTGCCAATATGTTTCTTTTTTTTCTAGCCTGTGCCAGAAGTTAAAATAGTGTCAAACCTTCCAGCCATAAGTATGGAAGAAGTAGCACCTGTTGCTGTTAGTGATGCTGCGCTCTTAGCACCGGAGGAGATCAAGGTAAATAGAAGTAAAACTCAAGTAAGATCTGAAGAGGATCTGTTGTTGATAGGCAGGTGGGCTGGCTGCCAGATCGGTGGGCAAATTCTGCCCCCGCTGACACTGGGTTCCTCGCCTTGTTGACTTTCTTGCCTGGCATTTCAGTGTTGGTTGTTACTGGGTTTGGGGGGGGGGACATGCTTTTGTTTGTCTGTTTGTTCATGTGAGAACTGGAAGAAGGAGAAAGAGTGAAATTTATTTG